CATCATTATAAGGGAATTTAGAATACCATTTACAAACTCACCTGGTGTCAACTACAGACTTCATAAAAAGACACTGATATAAAACTAGAAAAAGAATAAGACAGGATATGAAGCTGAAATTCCAGGGTTTGATTGATTTCAACCAGCTTCATGGAGTTTTTTTGTTTTGATTTTTTTGTTTTTTGTTTTACTTTCTCCATGTATGTTTGTTTGTATGGTATATTTAAAAAGATAATCCATTTATTAATCTTTGGCTATACAAAAGGATCCATAATTCCTCAAGGTCATTACAGTGGTAATTATTATTGTGTTCTGCCAATGAATTTGTTACTTAGAAATTCTCACCTTTTCCAGTTATAGCTGATGGACATAAATTTGGAAAAATCCTATCAGGAAAGAAAAGAGAAATTTAGTAATGAGAACATGCCGTCTTCCATTCGATAGAGGACATTTGCCAAAGCAAGATAAGTAAGCTAACCAGAATTTCAACACCTCCTAGGTGTTAGGAGTTTTCACCTTTATTACTAATGTGCAAGTCCTCCTCTTTCACCTCCTAAACTCTTGCCAGCGCTGAGACCTACGCGGCAGCAACTGGGAAGCTACTATGCTGCTCTCGAAAGATAATCACCATTTGCACAGTTAAGTGTTTGGCACAGCTGTGGATTCGGGAGCACTGAAGGGCTCTGAAAATGTAATATTTTAATCATTGCTTCTTAAAACATATGTTTAAATTGCATTTTCCAACTAAGGAGTGGTCTCAGCTATCATCCATATCTCACTCACAAAGAAAACTTCTCAGGCCAACTTGGCAGCCTCGAGCAATTCAGTTGATCTGGAAATCTTTCAGCTCCCCAGTTAGCATTCTCCATGACCAAATCCAGGTGCCAAAACTTTTACTAAGCGATATAACTACTGCTTAACTGCCTCTCTCACCTGCTACTGTCACTGAGACATAACTACTACTATGTTTAGAGCTACTTCAGGAAAAGAATCATCAAGCCATATGTTGCAAAGTGACTGCTACATGTCCCTTAGCTTTTTCAGTTAGTGCAACTATGCAATTTTTCACCCAGCAGCCACTCTGAGCCCTTTAGGTGGATCAGTTAAACCAGAAATTTAGCTCAGGACTAACAGTACTTATGGTAATCATATAACTAGAGTGATCATACGTTCGCATTGCCTGAGACAGTCTTTGACTGTGCCAACTGTCAAAGCATGATTATCAGCTTCTGTCAATTTCTATTCACAAAACTGTACCAGTATGAATTCTTGTATGGCCACCTTGATTATACCTATAACAGATCGAGGGACCAGGATGAACATATCTTAAGCCAAAACATCTGTACTGATAAGCTTCATAGCTCACCTCACCTTCTTCTTGGTAGTTGCCTGCAATTACACTGTTACAGCTTCAAACCATAAAATATTTTACCTCTAGTATCTATCACAGAGTCTAACACAAAGGGTAGTAACATTATAATTTTGTGAGATGAATAATGTCAAATTAGAAGGCATATCACTCATTCATACAATTCAAAAATATTGATTGTATCCCTACTGTTTGCAGGCACTACGCTAGGAACTGAGGGTGTACCACAAAGCAGGTAAATTACCACTCTCAAAGAGACTTCAGTGTCATGGGGAAAACTGATTTAAGATATAAATTTAGTAATATAAGTGGTATAACATCATGTACTGTAGGAGTGTAAAGAAGGGCCAACTAACCCAGCCTTGAGAAATGTAGGGATACTTCTTGGAAAATGTGGCATATAACTAAAGGAAAGGACATGAGATTGATGAAGGTTCTCGTCTACATTTTATGTACAAAGGCACATTAAGAGAACTGAAAGTCTCCAGTGTGACTATAATGAAGACGAAAGGATGAACAGGCTTGCAGTGGGGATGTAGAACACAGACAAGGTCACATATGTCATTAAGGACACTGGCCTTTATTCAGGGGCAATGCAGAACAGGAACCAAGATTTGACCAGATTTGATCAGATTTGACTTTAGAATGATCACTCTGGCTACAATATTATGATTATATGAAATCATTAAGTAATTTTTATTCTTAGATAGAGAAGGGGACATTGTGTTTTATTTGAATGTCTTGAGTCATCTATGGAGAACATTCTCTTTGATAAAGTCAACCATGACTCAATAGTGAGGCACTCTGGGTTCATTTTCTAGTCCCAGGGTTTAATTTGCTGGTGTCCTTGGCCAAACTATCCTAGGCTTACTGAGACCTCAATTTCCTTATCTATAAAATATGGATTGTTGTATTCACCTTTTACAGAGGCCGATCTGAGGAACCACTATTGAAAAGCAGCCAACTTAGGGGTAAAAAAGTTACCAAAATGCTTAATAAGTCCAAATAACAACCAAGAAAGATAAAATGTATGTGTCAAATGTTCAAGTGTGCCATGGGAGGGTTTCAACTTTAAGATTTAATGATCCGAAGGCTCATTGTTACTAGTGCTATTTGTCTCAACTAAATTTGAGGCTTGGGTGGCAGTCCTGCTCATCAGTGAAGAGATGACAATCTAAAACCATCTCTGCTCAAAGACATAGCTCTGAACCTAGACTTGGTTTCACTTTTATAAGAACCCTTCTTTGAATCTGCTGAGTACAGCACTCAACTTATAAAATCACATTCTGAAACTAATCTCTGGAAGAAAATAATGTGCTATTTGAATGATTAAAAAATAAAAGAATTGGATGTGAAAAGGTGAGAAAGATCACCAAATCTCTTTACTAACCTCTTCGGATACTGCAAAACACCAAACTCTAGATTTAAATGAAAGTTATTGATAATAATAACCTTCACTCATCAAGAGCTGGTTATATGCAAATTGCTATTCTAAATATCTTGCAAACATCAGCTCATTTGTTCCAGAGAGTTATATTATTTCCTATATCTTATTTCTTAATACTTGAGTTCAGAGAAGTTAAATCCTGCCCATCTATAAAGTGACAGAGCTTGAATTACAACCCAGGTTGGTACAAATCTCTGTTTATGCTCATTGCTTCTGCGCTGCTCCACTAAAAACTATTAAAAGGCCTATGGCACTGCCACCTTTTTGCCGGGGTCCCGCTTTCTCAACCCTACCCAACCCTGCTGCTCATATCATCACTGGCATATGAAGTTGCTGTTTCCAAAATGAGAGTCAGTCAAGATAGGAAGGTTAATTTATTTTAGTGGATGTGTGTCAGTGGCACTATTTTTAAAAAGTACATCGTGACAACTTGTACATCACATAAAATCCTTTCATTTGGGTCGTGCCAATATGACCCTAAAAAGGAGCGAGTGATCTGTTCCTTTGTACGTGTTCCATCAAGAGCACCTGTCAGCAGTCGATGGTTCACAGCATATTAAACAATGTAAGAAAAATCCAGGTACTTTTCTGAGAAATAGATCCAACATCAGAGAATACAAATATCATTGAAATAAGCCCCTTTGGGGTATATATTGGTAAATCCTATAGTTTCTTCTTGTCATACCACAAACCAAAAGATTAATTGTGAGGGTTGTATCAAGTAGTATTTTTTACAACAGTATCCTGAGTTTTAAAACTGAGCTCCATGCAAGTTCTGCAATTATACTTCACAGATTCTGTAAAAATATGATTCAAATTTATTTAAAAATATATTTCTTAAATTATTCTAAGACAATTTAAAAACAATATGCATGTTCAAATGCACACATTCACACACAAACACACACACACACATACATGCTGAACTCATTCTATATCCAGCTATCTAGTTAACATCAGTCTTAACTATGTGTGCAAAATCAAACTCCTAATCTTTTCCACCCTGCCCTCAAATTTGTTCCACCTACAGTCCTCCACAATTCAGTAGGGGCAATCCATCCATCCAGTGGCTTAGTGTATTTCCTGATTCACCTCTTCCCTCATATCTCACATCCGAATCCCCAATAAAATGACCACTGCACATCACCTCTACTGCCTTCATCCTGTAGAAATCACCAGCGTCTCTCACTTGGAGTATTGTAATACCTTCCTAATTGGTCTTCTTTCATCTCACCTTTCAGTTACACTCTATTCTCACCTCAGCAGGCAATGATGCCTTTAAAACTAAGTCATATTATGTCTCTCAGATCGTTTCTCTCAAAATCTTCCAAAAGCGTCTCATCTTATTTTGAGAAAAGCCAAAGCCCCTTCAATGACCTACAAGAGCTCACCAACTCCCATCCACTGTGCCTGGCTGATCTTACCTTCTATGACTCTTGCCCTTTATCACTCCACTGCATCCACACAGGTCTCCTTACAACAATGTTGCTCAGACATTTAAGGCATGCTTGAGGTTTTCTCTGCTTGCTCTTCCCCAAAGATCCAGTGCTTCAGGTCTTTGCTCAGTCAAGCCTTCCCTAACCACACAGTTTAAAATTGCAATCTCGCACTTCAATCCCAGAACTTTCTGTTGCCTGCATTATTTTTCTCCACAACACTTATCACTCCCTGAAAGATGATGTATTTAGAATACACCTATTTATTGTCTGTCTCCTTAACTAGAATGTAAGTTTCATAAGAAAGGGATATAGAATTCTCTTGTTCTACTGCTGCATTGTCCAGAATAGTATGTGATACATACAGGCATTCAATAAATATTCATGGAAGGTATAAAAGCAAGCAGGGTAAAGACAGAGTGCAACAGAAATGAGTATATGAGCACACAACTTTTTCAATGGCATGTCAGAAAAGATTCTTTGAGGAAATCACACTTGAACCTGAGTACTGAGTAAAGGCCAGCTATGCAAATATCAGGTAACAAAATATTCCATGTGTGTAGAAATCATTAAAGATGAGTTTGACAAGTTTAAAGAACAAAAAGGAAGTACTATATAGGTGGACCGTGATAAAAAAAAAAGGGGGGATGCATTCAGTTTTATGATATATTATAGAATGATACACTTAAAACCTATATAATTGTATTAACAAATGTCACCCCAATAAGTTAAATAAAATTGGTTGCAACTATTTGACAGACCTGGAGTAGTTACTGTCTACTGGTAATGTTTCCACTATAAATGAAAGAAAAATGTGTCCTCACATTTTCTGTCTGTCCGATTGTGGCAGCTAAGATTAAATGGAGGAATACAGGAGAAAAACAGAGTAACAGAGATAAAAACATGAACAGAGAATTTTTGCAATAGTGAAGATCCAGTTTTACTAAAAAAGGTAGGAGAAGGTCTAAAATTTGAGTTTAAAAGCAATTAGAAAGGTCATGGGGGTTGAAAGGAGCTATATCATGTAAGCTATGAGGAAAAATTTGAAATTTACCCTTCTGGCAATGGTGAACCTTTGGAGCATTTAAGCAGAGGAGTGATATGAATTGATTTACATGTTTAAAGGATTGCCTTTACTCTCCGGATAATGGATAAGGGAGCATAGTGAGATGTAGACTGGGAAGATGACTTACAAGTTACCACAATCCAGGAGAGAAATAATGGTGGATTAGACTCTGAAAAGTACTGAGGGAGGGGTAGTGTTTGGACTCAAGGCATGTATTGGAGGTGGAACTACACTTGCTGGTAAATACAAAGAGTAAGGGACATTTATTCCAAGTATGCAAGGCTTATTCAACATTCAAAAATCAATAAATGTAATCCATCACATCAACAGGCTAAAGAAGAAAACCACATGATCATAACAATAGGTGCAAAAGAATCACTTGACATAATCCAACAACCATCTATGATAAAAAATTGTCAGAAAACTAGAAACAGAGGGAAACTTTCTGAACTTGGTATAGAATATCCACCAAAAATCCTATAGTTGACATTATACTTAATGGTGAAAAACTCAAAGCTTTCCCAGTAAGATCAGGAACAAGTAAAGGAAGGATGTTCCTCCTCACCATTGCTTTTCATCATTGTACTGGAAGTCCTAGGTAATGCAATAAAACAAGAAAATGTAATAAGTGATATATAGATTAGGAAGAAAAAATAAAACTGTCGTTATTTACATATATCATGATCATCTTGTAGAAATTATGAAAGAATCGACGAAATAATTCCTGGAATAATAAGCAATTATAACAAGGTTATAGGATACAGGTGCAAAAGGTAGCTTCCCTATGTGCCAGTAATGAACAAACGGAATTTGAATTTAAAAATACAATATAATTTACATTAGTACCCAAAATATATATATATTTAGGTATAAATCTAACAAAATATGTATGATATCTATAGGAGAAAAACTACAAAACTCTGATCAGATCTCTTGATCAGATCTCTGAACTAAATCAAGGAAGAACTAAATACATAAAGCGATATTTCATGTTTATAGATAGGAAAACTCAATATTGTCAACATGTCAGCTCTTCCCAACTTGATCAATAGATCCAATGCAATCTCAATCAAATTCCTAGCAAGGTTTTTGTAGATATCTACAAAATTTCAAAGTTTATACAGAGAGGCAAAAGACTGGAAATAACCAATACAGTATTGAAGAAGACTAGTTGGAGGATAGACATTACCCATCTTCAAGTTTTACTACAAAGCTACAGTAATCAACATGGTGTAATGTTGGTGAAAGAACAAATGGATCAATGAAATAGATTAGAGAGCCCAGAAATAGACCCCCATGAATATAGTCAAATGATTTTGGATAAAAGAGTAAAGGCAATGCAATGGAGAAAATGGTGCTGGAACAACTAGATATCCACATGCAAAAAATAAAAATAAAAAGAATCTAGACACAGACCTTATATGCTTCACAAAAATTAACTCAAAATGAATCAGTGACCTAAATGTAAAACACAAAACTCTAAAACTCCTAGAAGATAACACAAAAGAAAATCTAAATGACTTTGGACTTGGCGATAACTTTAATTCATCCTTGACACAGTGAATTGATAAGATAGACTTCATTTAGAACTTAAAATCTCTGCTCTTGGCTGTTAAGTGAATAAGACAAACCACAGACTGGGAAAAAAAGTATTTGCAAAAGACATATCTGATAAAGGACTATTATCCAAAACAAACAAAAAACTCTTAAAACTCAACAATAAAATAATGAACAAGCGGATTAAAAAATAGGCCAAAGATCTTAACAGATAACTTACCAAAGAAGATATATGAGTAGCAAATCAGCATTTGAAAAGGTGCTCTACATCATAGTCATCAGGGAACTGCATGTTAAATCAATAATGATATATCACTATACAACTATTAGATGGCTAAAATCCAGAACACTAACAATACCAAAGGCTGGTGAGGATGTGGAGGCACAGGAACTCTTATTAACTGCTGGTGGAAATGCAAAATGGTACAGCCACTTTAGAAAACAGTTTGGCAGTTTCTTATAAACCTAAGCATACTCTTACCAAACAATCTAGCAATTGTGCTCCTCGGTAATTACCCAAAGGCATTGAAACTTATGTTTACACAAAAACCTGCACACAAACGCTTGTAGTAGCTTTATTTATAATTGCCAAAATTGGAAACAACCAAGATGTTCCTTAGTAGGTGAGTGCATAACTGTGGAATATTATTCAGCACTAAAAAGAAATGAAAGCTATGAAAAGACATGCAGGAACCTTAAATGCATGTTACTGCCAAGCTATGAAAAGACATTCAGGAACCTTAAATGCATGTTACTAAGTAAAAGAAGCCAGTCTGAAAAGACCACATATTATATGATTCCAACTATATGATATTCAAGAGAAGTCAAAACTACGTAGACAATTAGAAGATCAGTGGTTGCCAGGGGTTAATGAAGACGAAGAGATAAATAGGCAGAGTACAGAGGATTTTTAGGGCACTGAAACTACCCTGTATGTCTTTATAATGGTGAATACACGTCATCATAAATTTATCAAAACCTATAGAATGTACAACATTCTATGAACTCTAATAGTAACTATAGGCTCTAGTTGATAATGATATATCAATGTAGGTTTGTCAATTATAAATGGACCACTCTGATGGGAGATACTGATAATGGGGAAGATAGGTATATGGGAAATTTTACTTTCTGCTCAATTTTGCTGTGAACCTAAAACTGTTCTAAAAAAATTAAGTCCGTTTTTAAAAAATGAAGGACAGAGACAAAGTAAGGATAACAGCTAGATATTTGGCCTGAGCAACTGGAAGCATGGTGGTGACGATACTATGATGGGAATACTGGAGGAGAGACAGATATCTGGGAGTAGGGCAAGATTACATTTTGTAAATTACAGATTTTAACTCTTGAAGACCAAGAATACATCATAATTATGTGATGCCAATTTGCTTTTTCTTATCTAGACTTTGAAATAACATTTCTCCTTCTATCTTTGTGCATATACTTGAATTGCTCTAAATTCTTCTGCATATCTGCTCATACAGATAAGTACACTCTGCTAGAGATAAATGCCCAAGGTGTGCTCATTAAGAAGATTTTTTTTGGAAAGAAAAGAAATGTCAGAGGTGAGGTTATGAGTTCAATGCTATAATCCCTGTACCAAACTCCAGACTACATCTTGGAAGAGGAGATATATATAGAAGTCCCCAGATAGGTTTAAGGACCTGAAAACACAGACACTTGCTGTCCCTTTCCTCACTGGGACCAAAATTGTTGAAGGGATGGGACCAGGAAGGCAGGCTACAAATAATCTAGAAGGGCACTGGAATGCCCCCACATATTTATCATCATGCCAAAGTAGTTAGTTCAAAAAAATGTTTCCCATGTGCTGGAGAAGGACATAATGATGGGGAGAAGGGAGGGAGAGTTATAGAGAAGAGAGAGAAGCTGAACCTAGAGAGGCCTTGTAGTCAGGACTACAAATGGATGACCTGCATGAGTCAGCAACCACTGCCCAGATAAGAACACCAGTATCTAGAGGTAAGTGGTGTGAATGGTAGACTATCTCCCTACCCTGCCTAGGCACTATATATAAGTGCCCAGGAGATACAGCACAGAGAAAAGACCTTGAATTACCTAAAATTTGCATCAAGGCTCCTGGAGCAATAGAAGGCTGGAAGTACCAAATAAGTCCAGTTATTGAAAAAGAAAGTTATGTTTTTTGCACGCCTAATTATGTGGAAAGCCTTCTATGTGCTATGTATGGTTTTAGTGTCTACTGAAAGACATGACTGTGGTTCTCTGTTTTGACTGACAAGAAATGTGAGCAGCTCCTCTGCTCAAATTATTCATGATTCAACTTCAAAACAAAACCTTCCTACTGCTCTCCTTTTAGTCTTCTAGCTCAGTTTATTTAAAGCATATCTTGAAAATTGCAAGGTGATTTTTTTTAAAGTTATAATCTGCAACTTTTTAGTACACTGCAAACAAAATAAAATATAGATAGAAGTAAGATGCTAAAGTGAGTATAAGCCTGCCACTGTAATCTAATTGCTGATTTATGTTCATAAAAAGTTCATGCTTTTCATCAAATGACTTTTTAATAATTTGTATGCATTTAAACTTATAAAATACTTATTTTTAAAAGCACTTTTAACATTTTTATATTTTATAAATTGAAATTATTTGAAAATGATATTTTAGAAACAGACTATTGCTGAAAACATTTACAAGCTATCGATCATAATAAAATTTTTCATTTTAAATAGAATATTTTGGAAATGTCACTCATTATATAAACTGTCTATATATGTCATTGTTTATACATACTAGCTTAATACTACTAATACCTACTGTATGTGTGTGTGTGTGTGTGTGTGTGGTAACAACACTTAATAAGAGATCTATCCTCCTAACACAATTTAAGTGTACAATACATTACTGTTGACTCTATGTACAATGTCACAGAGCAGATCTCTAGAGTTTATTCATCTTGCTTAACTGAAACTTTATGCCTATTGACTAATAACTCCCCATTTCTCCCTCCCTCCAAGCCCCAGTAACCACCATTTCAATCCTTGATTTTATGAATTTGACTACTTCAGGTAACTCACATAAGTGGAATCATTCAGTACTTGCTTTTCTCTGTCTGGCTTACTTCATTTAGTGTAACGTCCTCAAGGTCCATCCATGCTGTCTCATATTGAAAATTTTCCTTCTTTTTTAAGACTGAATAGTAGTCCACTGTATGTATATACCACATTTTCTTTATCCATTCATCTGTTGATAAATATTTATATTGTTCTCACATCTT